AGTCACTCCAGCGTCGTGAATGCGGCGAAGTACCACCTCCAGATTTAGGTCGTGTTCTGCTTTGTCCCGACCGAAAACCAATACGTCATACGAGTGACATGCTTGACTAGGGATGCCTTCCAAAATCAGCAAGTTCTCGCGATACTGAATGGGAGTCTCTTGAAATAAAAACGTCCCACTGGTGTGATGCATATAGGAAGTTCCTTCGATTCTAGAGCTATTGGAGCTTTTCATTTTCGCTTCTGACAGTGTTGCCAGGTATTCTTCCACCGTTGGCATGATGATGCGTTCTCGTACCAGCTGTGGGTTTAGCTGGGTGTAATCCACGCAGATTCGAAAAGGAACCATCTTGCGTTTTTGCAACCACCATGGGTGTGTAACATGCCGGTGCGTTGTCAATTGTCTCGAAGACGTCCATGTCAAGCATGCGTTGTTATTCTTGCTCCATATTGGGTAGGAGCTGGAGGGCTACCCGTCGCGGGTATGTTATTTTGAACGGCTTCGCGTCTGGGTAGAGTGTGATCTTATACTGGAAGTGATGGTACTTTGTTCGCATTTTACAGCACCCTGCCTTTCGTTCCGCGTTCACTTCGTTTATGCTTGGTAGCAGGTACAGGGCTTGGATTGCCAGTCGACCCAGCAAAGGATGTACTAGCTGATCTGCCACTTACATGATCTCTCTCATTGTGCGTCCCCCCACGCTGAACTTCTCGATTGTGCTGAATGGAGCGTGGCCCGCTCCAAGAAGATAATTTGTTGTTGGCTCCAGTGCTGCCAAGGTTGACGCGTCGCAAAGGCCAGGAGGGAAAACCGTGACGTCCACGCCGGTGTCCACTTTGAACGTGACGTCTCGGTTATTCATTTTGGCTGCAATCTACCAGGCGTCTCCGTTGTTTGCGTGCACCAGTTCGCCGAGGAGCACTTTTGTCTTGGCTCATTGTCTTGTGAATTCCGATTTTCTATCGCAGCCTTTGTGAAACAGACACTCGCGAAGTGGCCTAGGTTCCTGCAGGAGTCGCACTTCTTGTCTCTTGCTGCGCATTGCTGCTTGGCGTGCTTCTGTGGACTACCGCAACATCGGCATGTCGACGTCGAGTCTTGGGGACGCCCTTCGTGGGTCCCTTTGTGTCGCGCCTGTTAGAGGGCGCGCGCTCCGCATTAATACTCGCTATCATCATCATTGACGGCGCGCTTGTGGCCGTTGCATCTGGCCTACTGAGCTTACGGATGTTCGTGGTGCTTTTTCTGACAGTAGCAGACGACTTTCAAATTGTTTCTGCTGCAGTTGGTAGTCACATACGAGAAATTCTGATACTTGTTTTAACCAATAAAACATTGAATCTGTGTTACTGTTGACTCTAAACCACATTTCAAGTGTCGTCTGCTGTCGGCTCAAAATTTGGGTTGTTCGAAACGCTTCGCGCTGTCAGCACAGCTAAGGCGACGGCGTTTTGAAATAATACAAACCTTATGCCATCATGGTCCTACCACTTATCGTGCTCAAGTTGTATTTTTACTGGCGAAAGGGCGAAAACCAACCGTAAACCGTGCTGGTCGCCGAGGAGTCGGGTTGGGACTCGCAAACAGCTGCAGCGGTTGGCAGCCGCGGAGCAGTAGCATGACGAAAATGCGCGGATTAATGCGCCGGCAGCGCCACCTCGCCACAAAAGAATCGGACACAGTTTCGGACTCCCTCCGTTGTACGGCGTCTATGGAAAGTTACACAACTGAGTTGATATAGTAACGGTGGGCTGCACCATCAAACGCTGCTCCCGACGCCATCTGTCAATACGAACGCCAAACACACCCCGCTACTGGACTTGGTCGTCTGGGTCGCCGCCCGCCGTAGACCCTGGCAAGTTTCTTGGCCCTAATTTTACAGAAAGAGAGCTGGGCTTTGTAATTTTACAAGACAAGTCCGACCTGTGAAATACACCTCTGACGAAACGTTTAAATCGCTACGTGCAGACGTCGATTTTTACGGTCCATTTTAGATGGAGCGTGGTGACTTGGGTCACCCTATATATATAAATATAAATCTTAATCAAATAAACTAGATTTGTTTGATTTACATAAAATTTATTTCATTCGAATTAAGTTTGTTTCTTTTAGGTAAAATTATTTTCATTTATATCACTGTGTCACCGATGAGGACGAAGAGACGATGAATAATTAACTGAAATAAACGTTTATTGGGGCAAACTTGCGCACAAAATAAAACAAACAACCAAAAGGTGTAAATGGAGATAACTATGCCTGTTTTTACCCGAAGAAGCGCAGTAAAACAAGTCCGGATCCATACGGAACATAACTGATTTCTAGTTAAGTTGTATGTAGGGGAATTCTAGATTATATATGTTATCTTATCAAGACGTACACGTCTAAAAACCTCCAAAGCATCGCGTTGTCCTCCAACAACCAAATCTAGTTCGGGTCCTTATCTACCGTGCACACTCGGTGTCTCGAACATTTGACCTAGTTCGTAGACATGCGCCGAAAAAGACACAAGGACCAGAAGAGACGTAAACACTGGCGCACTCACAACTAACATTCACTGAAAAAAAAAAAAAAAAATCGAATCCGTTATATTACCGTAAAAAGATTAAAAAAAACTTTTAGTCACGATTTGGCACGGTGTAGACCCGTTTCTAGAAAATCAAATTCTTTCGTCGATAAGGTTGTAGAAGTGTCACTTGTGCACATCTTGCCTTTTGCTTTGATTTCAAAAGCCCCGTGGAGCTTCCTGGATATCTAATCTGGGTATATGGCCAGAAATTGGGTGTCTTTCTACGATCATGAACCAACTGGCCAGAATTGCCATATTAATTTGACCTAGAAGGTTCGAGAGTAAGGTAGGGAGAGTCTAACTAGGCAAGGTCTTTACTAGCCTTTTTATCTTTTACACTCGTTCAAGAGTGAGCACAAATCGCCGTGAAGTGCGGAGAAACGTTCCTTCTCGGTCATGCATGATGCAAAGGCACATTCTCCTCAGACCCTCTGACTCCAATCGGGGCAAAGGTTTTAGCGCGCGCAGTTGGTTACCAAACGGGATTCCCTTTTTAATTCAAATTTCCCGCCTCGGCAAGTACTACTTTGTGGACGCTCCGTGAGATGGCGCCACTGGTCCAGCCAAAGCGACGCACAGCGCGTTTGACTAATCTTTTTTTTCTCAAGCAATATGCAATAGAACGTTACGTACAGAGTATCGCAGTCTTTTTGAAAGCGCAGCAGACTATTTGAGAAGAATTTAGTGTGAAAGCTGCGTTGTTATTTGCTGCTAAGCGTTGTTTAGATTTGGTGTCCCCAATCGGGTACTGTGGGTTCTAAGTGGTACCACTTAATTGCTTTCACCCAAGTGCCCGACTGACGAAGAAATTCAGGCCTTTCTGCAAGAAAGCGACGCTGATCTTACAGACTCGGAGAACCCTGACGCTTTTGCCAATGATGTGGACGGCAGTGTTGATGCAGAGCCTGAGAGCGAAGAGAGTGATGACAGCCAAGACGACCGAAGTGACCAAAGGACCCAATCGGGGATAGACAAATTTCACAACTTTCATTCCTTGTATGAAAAAACTATTTTTTTCCAACGATTTTTTGTGTGCTCAAATGCCAAATAAACTAGTTTGAGGCAAATCGTCCAAATTTTCTGATTTTGGGACAAAGGAGGAATTATAAAGAGACAAATAAAAGCCAAACACTAAATAATAAAAAAAAAAAACACATATCTATCTATCGGGATTACTTTTGCGGTTAAGGTTAGATTTAAATCATAGCAAACTGGTCTGGTTTAGAAAAAAAGATATAAATCGCGATTTAAATCACCTTGATTTGTTTTGGCTCAGATTTCAATGGCAAAAAGGAATAATTACTATTCCGACTTTCTTGGCTAGTATTAGTAACAAGCGCATACACTGCTGTTTTGTTTTTGAGGCGGAACAGCTATTAAAGTGCTAGTAACGTCAATAGAGGTACATTCACTGTTTCAGTTACAATCATTTTACTACTTTTTTTTTTTCTATGAGTGTACGACTACTTCTATATTTCTTACAAAGTAGAGATCTGGGCCCGTTTGCTCGAAGAGCTAACCGCGGTTAGCGTTGGCCAAAGTCCCTAGTAGGTACCGAAAGTACCTAGTTGTACCTACGTTGTACCTACTACGAAACTTTAATGGCTGGACATAAAACAAATCCGTCCTTTATTATTGGGCTGGAGCCTGCGCCACCTTGTGCTGAAAAAAATAAATCGTTATTTTTTTATGATACAACGTTTGCTTTATGGGAACCGTTTTCGGCTAAATCTAGTTGTAACTTGCAAGAAACGTTTGCTCAATTGAAAAGAAAAAGGATAGTTTCTTTTTTGCATCGAAATTCTTTCTTTCGAAGTGTGGAAGCGTAGACAAGACACCTAGTCAAAGTGCTTTGCAGTTTTCTGTTGTCGTGTTTTGCAAAAAGCAAGTGCGTCGACCGTCGCTTCCAAGTTTGGCAACGCCGTGTGTGCCGTGTCGCGTGCACGGCGTTTGTTTATACAACCAGTTTCGCCTCGTTGCACGTAACGCGCGTTTCTCGTTTTCGGTTATCATCTGAGTTTTCCTGTCTGTATTCTGCCCTTCGACCGACCGACCCACCGACAAACCCTCCGACCGGCCACGGACTGACTGATAAGATTTGCGGACCGATTTCCGACTTTGCTACCGGGCAGAATGTCCAACGCAAGGAATCGCCGACACAGAAGAGACCGCACGGACGCGCAGTACGCAGCGGCAATGATGAGGCGACAGCGTGTGCTGCGGGACCGCCTGAACCCCTTTGAGGATTTCGACGAGGATGGGCTGCAGCAACGGTTCCGATTTGGAAGAGCGGGCATAATGTTTCTCGCCGACACACTGCGTCCGGACTTGGAGCGCCGTACACGTCGTAGCCGCGCCCTCTCTGCGGAGCAGCAAGTGATCATCGCCTTGCAGTTCTACGCAACTGGGAACTTTCTGATCACTGCAGGCGACTATGCATGTGTCAAGTGCTTCACGGGCTGTGAGGCAAGTCACCGTAGCGCTGGCTCGTCGAGCACAAGACTTCATACGGTAAGGGTCCTTTTTTTTTCCTTTTAATTGTAGTTTGCCAGCCGTATTGAAGTAAAGTAAATACACTAAAAATATATCTGAATTGCTGGTGATAGGGATGTTTTGTAGGTTGCCTTTTTATGGCAGTAATATTCTACCTACTAGTAACTAGCCCTCCCTCCCCCCCCCCCCCCCCCCCCCCCCCCCCTTTTCAATAGAAAAAAAAAAATGATTACGGCCGTAAGCGTCCTACTTGCCCGATTGGAAAGGGCCCGGGCACGCCATTTTTCTGAGAAACCTCAGAAAGCGACCCGTTTGCACTTTTGGTAAGGACTTGCACCGAATCACAGTCACTTTATAGGTCTTGGTAACTGAACAAAAATAAAAAGGGATCCTATGAAAACATGCAAACTTCACTATTGAACAGGTGCTACTGAGGCACTTTACTGCTACCACAAACTTGAAGGGCACAGCCAAAGTCCTTAGCATTCCTCATTAAAAAGGTATTCATAAGCATTGTAGCTGTAAGTTTACTATATGTGGTTTAATTGCTGAGGGGATCAACGACGCAGATGGCCTGACGCTGCGGAGGGGGCAGCCTTGCAGCACAAGTTCTACGACATGGCCGGCTTTCCTTTGGTCGTGGGTGCTGTTGACGGTACCCATGTCCGGATCCAGGCACCCCATGTGCACGAGGAGGCGTACGTCAACCGCCATGGATACCATTCCATCAACGTACAGGTGGTCGTTGACGCCTCTTCTCGGATTCGCAACGTGGTTGCAAGGTGGCCTGGAAGCACCCACGACTCTCGGATCTTCACGGAGAGCACCTTGGCAGTCAAGCTGGCCAGTGGAGAGTACGACGGCCTGCTGCTTGGTGACAGCGGCTACTCCTGTCAACCTTGGCTGATGACGCCATTCCTGTCGCCGTCATCAGCAGCCGAGGTCGCATACAATACGGCACACACGACGACAAGAAGCATTGTTGAACGGTAAATCTAGGCCATATATTGTGAAGGGCACAGAGATATTCATGCAAGACATTTCGAGACGACTAGCTGTCTTGACGTAATATGTGCAACACGTGCATGCTCCTTACGTCTGTTGCTATTCTTTATGGCATAAAAATATTCATACAAATTTTTATATTAATCTAACGAAGCATAAGATACCGTGGTTTTATGTAAGCAAGATGAAAGTAGTATCCTGAGATTACGAATCAATACAACTTATAATAGCTGCCTAGGGTTCTGCGGTTTCAGTTTTTATTTTTCTGGAATCGGCATACTTTTTTCGGTTGTTATTGTGAGTATGAAATTTTCAGTTTTTATCGATGAATATTTTTAGTCGAAAGCTTACTGCCTTTTTCCGGTCGATATCTATTGACCAGTTACGTTTTTTTTCAAGCAGGTTTGTCGAGAATGCAGTAGATTAGGTTCATATCTGAGTTATTCGTCAAGCGGCAACACTTGCGGACATGGCAAACGTAACCTTGGTTATACAGGGTGTCACAAAAGAAAATTTACACGGTCTTTTTTACCGCAAAAATAAACTGGGCATCGCCGAACGCTCATTCTCCGCCCAAAGGTAGCGCTAGAGGTCACAACCAGATGCCAAAGTTTCAGCCCGATCCGATAACTTAATCAAAAGTTATAAGTGATTTTCTGAAAATTTCAATGGGAAAATGGCGGCCGACCGAGTTTTCAAACACATGGGGCTCTATGGCACCAGAAACCGAAAACGGGCAAAAACGGGCTCCATTTTCCCATTGAAATTTTCAGAAAATCACTTATAACTTTTGATTAAGTTATCGGATCGGGCTGAAACTTTGGCATTTGGTTGTGACCTCTAGCTCTACCTTTGGGCGGAGAATGAGCGTTCGGCGATGCCTAGTTTATTTTTGCGGTAAAAAAGACTGTGTAAATTTTCTTTTGTGACACCCTGTACATGTGCTGTGACGACAAATTCTTAATCGCAAAATTTGCAAACGTAATTCTTGGCACGCTTCTTTGTTCTTCACATGTGGAGGACTATTAAAGCTGCTTTCCTCTAACCAGATAGCACCTTGAGAGAGGCTGTTTAAACAGCTTTGGTTTTTTTCTTATGCTCCCTACAATAGGAACAGAATGACATTCCATTCCTCCCAGAACAAAAGTAAGACCAAATGGCTTGACAAACAATGAAAACGCTCCAAATCCGCCCTCTAGACGACCACAGCAAACTTGATGGACAAAGGAACGCAAATTGCATCGATGACAAACCCAAATACTTCCTAAAGTGTGCTTCCAACAGAATAGTTTGAAAGCACGGAGATAAGATAGTTGACTACTCGGTCACATGCTTCTATACTCTGTTTACTCGGTCACATGCACCTGTAATGGTCTAAAGTACTGACCATTTAGGTTTAAAATCAAACTTTCGAAACTTACCTCACCACACTTTATTGGGTTTTATCGCTTGAGACTGAAAATGCAGAAACTCGGTTATGTCTTAGGTCCCCAGGACTGGCAATAATGGGGAAAAGCACTAAACTCACCTCAGGTGCCAGTGCTACGCAAGACCCGGACAGAAGTTGATATTTTGTTAATTGGACAAAAAGAAGCATTAATGACAATGGAATTTTTTTCCTAGACACAGCAGTGGAAGTAACACTGTGCCTTGGCACTTTCATATGTCTACTTTTTGAAATGTCAGTTTCGGGCTGTTTAATGAAAACTAACTAAACGTGCTAGATATGTATGTACTCATATTGAGTGCACAAGTACAGCTAAGCTCGTGCGTGCTAAGATGCGTGTGATCCAAAAATAGCGGCACATCGGTGTAAGTCACAAACAATTGTGTGTTGCTGACCGTCTTGACCGATTGGCCAAGAGTACATGCCTAGCATGACCTATTCTGCTCTCATCGATGGATTTAAGAGTAGTGCCAAGGCATCATTTTGGACAATGTTGAAGTTGAGCATGCAATAACAAGTTTCCACAAATAGTCTCTAGACACCATCTTACACGTCATTCACGACTGATGATGAGTCGCTGCAATCTCAAATGTTCAGGCAAATCTTGCTTGGGATTCCGTTGTGAAAGCGCCATAAGACCCTCTACCAAAACTTTGGCTGCATGCGTCCAGGAGCTTCCACTTGAGTCAGAAATGGCGGTGCGTGGACCACTAACTAATAGGAACACTAGCGGCACAATCAAAGGGTAGGAGTACTTGGATAAGGCGTTATATCAAGTGCTTTACGTTTTACATCTCCCAGACTTACAAGACGGATTCTTATTGATCAATGACAAAAGTAGATGGGTTGCGCTACCACGAACATCTATTCCTGGAGAGTGGAAGGGAAAAGGCTCAACAAGACAAGAGTCTGGCTCTCTTTCTCTTTTCACTCTGTCTCACAAGTAACATGTAGAATGAAATTTTGATGGTACTGTATTTGTTGCAGTATAAAGCTTGGTTACAAGTTAATTCTTACAGCGTTGGCAGCAATCAGGTAGCAAAAAATTCTAACATATTGGCCTGTGCATATGCAGGTGTTTGGTTGGAAGCATATCCACGAAACCCTTTGAGGATAGCGCTTGAATAAAGCTGCACTTTGCTTGTTGCTTTCTATAAAATACATTGCACAGGCTAACCTCAGGTGACCCCGGATGTGAACGTAGTGTAAAAATAATTCGGAAGGAAAATAAAATGGTATGCATAATGCCCAGCTTTCGATATCCTGGAGCAATGGGCTGGAGCTTGGGCTGGAAAAATTAGGAGGTGTGATATCGGGCACGGCAGCCAATTTGCGATTCGAATTCAGCTGTAAATTTGTCCTTGTTGCGTGTCATCCTCTTGAGTATTTGCGTTCCACGCTGTTGTCCGATTTTGCTATTGGGTTTCTGGGAAGGAATAACATGTGGTTTTGATCCATGCGCTCTGTACAGGACAATCGGCCAACTCAAGCGGAGGTTCCATTGCCTTCACGCTGAGCTCCGAATGGCTCCAGAACGGTGCTGCGACATCATTGTCGCGTGCTGTGCCCTCCACAACCTGGCCAAGAGATACCCCTGCAGGACACCCGTGGCCGCCATCCCCGCTGAGGTTCCCGTTGAGCCCGTAGCAGCCAACCGTGCTGAGAGCAACGAGGCCCGAGACTTTATTGTCAACCATTTCTTCGGCTAAGTGTAAGTGTCTGGATAGGTATCTTCTGGCTGTCCATTTCTAATGCAAGATGCTTTGTTATGATCGTGGCTATTGCTTTCACCTTTTGTTTATCAGGCTTTGCAGATAATTATAAGAAAATTATGTCAGACAGTTGTCTAACTAGATCAAATAATTGCTTGAAATAATATTTATTGTTTTTCTACTTAAACATCAATTGTATTTTTGGAAACTGCAACAGTTAGGGGCTCAACCGTGCTGCACAGTTAGCAAGAAGCCAACAGCTTTGAGATATTGATTAATTTTATTTTAAGCTTTTTTTGTATGATCTAACTGGATGTAAGATTATCATAAGTTCTACCCAAAATAACCCATAAAGGAGTGTGACACATGTGACAATGCTGAAAGTGTGTTATCAACATGACAATGACATTCCAGCAATGCATATATCACTCTTGCACAGATCAATTCGGGTAGTGCTTGCAGATATCCCACATAGAGTTTCGAAATTTGGATGATAGAAATGTAAAGAATGATTGATGGACATCCCCTTATACCTGTTGCTTCCATAGCAGTATGTGTAAATTGCAGCATGAGCGACGAAATAAGTAATGAAAAAAAATTTTCTTACTTCCCGCATTATTGTTACAAAGCTCGAAATGTGTCATTTGAGGCACTTATAATTAGCTCGTTGGAAAGAGTGTGCTCGAAAAAAATCCCTGCCGAAGCTATTGGTCAAACGGGAGTGCAGTGCAATGTCCAACACTCCTGCAATCGCACGCTGCAGCTCAACTGCTTGTTACTGCTTTGGTCTCCTCCCCATCAACTCCTGCACTCTCGCAGAGCTACAAGCATAGGCACACACGGGCTCTCTTAAACTAATAGATTTTGAATTTGATTTCCGGAGTTCATAACAATGCACTTTTCAAACTTCTAACTAATGACACGAGGGATGCTTCTTCAAATTTGTGCACTTCTTCGCACTCTCTGGAGCTCTCTTTTTATACTGTCATTATTTTTTGTAATACATTTCCCACACCGACGGATGCTTTATGGGAAGTGCTGAAGTCAGCCCTATAACAGACTATGTGTGCACAGTTTATAATGAGGCAACTGAAGAAGACAGTTATTTTCCCATTCAATATCTACAAACCGATACTATTTAATGGGTACAGGAGCATGAATAGGAGAGTATAGTGAAACAATGTTCATTTGATACCAATTTCAAAGCTATCAGTACAAATTATATATACTACCCCATAGAATGTTCATTTTTCACTGCATACTCATGGTTACTAGCTCATAGGATTTACATAGTGTACGCTTCTGAGTGTTGAGTCATAACACCTTTCACAGGTTTTTCCAACCTGCAAAGCTTTTCTCTTATTTTTCACAAACCTCCTAGGGTTAGTTCATATTTTCTTCATCCTGGCTGGCATGATAACATCATTTGCAAAACATTTATTTTTAGTAGGGCATTGTCCAGAGAGGAGCTTTATTGTACATACTACACTCTCATTAATTCAAACTCCAGAAAGTCACATATTTTAGTTGGATATATATGATACTAGAGAACATTATGATTTGTTACATGGATAGCGATATATACAAAGCAGATTTTGGCCAGTTTCCTCTACATAGCACAATAGCTTGCTTATAGTTAATGCATAACTATAAGCAAGTACAGGCATAACACATTTGTGAAAGAACTGTGACTAAGTTTATTCATCCGGCAAAAAAGTCGTCAATTGTGGACTGTTTAGTCAGCACATGAGATCTCAAAACAAAATTTCCAATGCCAGCCAACGCAAGCAGCTCTTTACGGGACTTTTCCTTTGCAGACAGAAACTTCCGGAGCTGAGCGATGTGCTCAAAGGCCTCTGCGGCTGTGACAGTTCGTAGTGGGTCATCCATTTCTTCATCGTCATCTTCACTGTCACTGCTGCACTGTGCTGGCATTACTTTCCGTACTATGTCCTCTAATGAGTCATCATGACAAACGCACACATCGTCGTCAAGACTAATATAGTTCGCCTGCACGGCGTTCACATTACGTGTTTCAAGGCCAGAAATCATGATGCCAGTGAGCTGTGCCTCGTCCTCGTTGTCGTCTTGGTCATCATTGCTAGTCTTGAAGCACATAATTTGAACGCCGTTTTCCGTTCATGTGTGCCGTTTTCGCTAATTCATAGTTTTTTGTTCTCGCGGCCCCGTTGACTGCGCTTCTTTCCGAGCACTGGTGCACTGCGGAGAAGCAACACTCGCAAAAGCAAGCTCCGCAGGTATTGCTTCTCTGCGGTGCACCGGTGCTCGGAAAGAAGCGCACTCAACAGGGCCGCGAGAGCAAAAAACTATGAATTAAGCGAAAACGCCATTCGAATTAAGTGGCTTATAAATACATAAAAAAGCTTAGCGGGACAACCAAAATTTTTAAACCTGTTTGAATTAACTGGAAGTACGAAATATCCGAGTTCGAATTATCGCGAGCCTACGTACAAGCAGCAAGTAGATTTCAGCTCCAAAAAACTGTTGTGTTGGATAACAGTGTATTTTTTTCTCGGTTGTATATCTATTCCGTGCGGACAAGTGATCACTTTGTGTTTTTATGTATGTGTGTTATTTCCCACCCCTCCTACAATAATGCCCTCGAGGCGATGAAGGTACTCTTTAAATAAAATAAATAAATAAATAAATAAATAAATAAATACTTAAAGAACAAGGTAAGTGGTGACGATTCAAAGTAATAAGAGTTGAAGACCCGGGGCCCCAAAAGGTGACACACGCAACAAAATGATGTAGTGTTGTGTTTGATCCCTTTTTCTGTTCCTGAGTTTCGGGATATTCTTAGTATGAACTTTTTCGTACATAAGCAGCACACAGTCCATAGGTCGCAGGAGCATATCCAGGCAGAAAAAGCCTTTATCTTAAAAGCAGAAGGAATATTTGCAGATGCAAGTCAGAAAGTGTCTGTGGTCCACTCATCGATGACTCGAACATTTTCTTAAAACACAGAAACTCGACCTTGGTCTTCTGCCGGGAGGCTAATCGTCTTGGCGACCTCCTCTCTTGAGCTGTGACGGGGAGCCGCGTTATGAAAGGGAAACATGTGAAGGGATATAGGAAAGAAGGAATTATACATCTGCCTTTGAGCTTAACCCATATTTTTATTTTAGGTATCCATGTAAATTATGTGCCACCTTTGGGGCGTCGAAAGCCTGGGTGCCATACTGCCAGTATGATATTCTGTTGCTTACTTAACCACAGCGTAAAATATTGCGATCAGAACAACCACGCTGGTCTAGTGTAGGGATAGTCAACGACATGGAAAAGATTGTGTGCAAGCTTCCCTTGTAGATAGCATGCATAAAATAAATGAAGTGTCAAACATACCATGTTTGCACGATTCTAACGTGGCCCCGATACTTACATGCAGGCAATTTTAGCTCCCAGATATCGAAAAATTTAATTGCTGCCGATTCTACCGCGCAGGTAAAGTAATGCACTTTGAACACCCATAAGTGCAGCTCTTAGGCGCTCGTTTCCGGCTTGAGCGGCGTCGCCGTCGCCGTCGTCGTAACCGCCGGTGCATGATGGGTAAATTTCTCTGCTAAATCTAGTGAAAAAATTTCTCCGCTAAATCTAGTGAAAAAATTTCCCCGCTAAATCTAGCGGAAAAATTTCCCCGCTAAATCTAGCGGAAAAAATTCCCCGCTAAATCTAGCGGAAAAATTTGTCCGCTAAACCTAGCGGAAAAATTTCTCTGCGGGGTCACGTGACCTGGGGGTCACGTGACCCCCCCCCCCCCCCCCCCCCCCCCGCCGAGGTCACGTGACCCCCCTCCCCCTCAGTACCCTTCCCTACTCCTCCTCAAGAGCTGCGCTCTAATTCGGCGTTACAGAGTTGTAAACGGCCTTCACTTTTTTTTTTTCATAAACACTTCGCGAGCTCATTGGGTCGCTGGGATTGCGAGGCTACGCAGTGTCGCTCCGTGGTTATCGTTTCCCGTCAGTGTGATGACATAAAGGCGAAAGAACGCGCGATACGGATACCAAAATATCTAATGTAAACAAACGGTCACAAAGGCGATTGGGCTAGCTGCCTTGCGTTTTTCTTTTGAGTTTTGGTTTCAATTGTAAGTGCATCTAATTTTAGGCACCCATTTTGGCAAAAAAAATGTGAGCGTTATAATCGTGCAACCAAGTATGTAGGTCAGAAAAAACGCAAAATATGTATACAACACAGCAACAAACAATGCAAGTAGCTCATTACATGAGTTAATCTTGTCGTAATTGTCTTTTTATCAGTTCAATTTGCAGCTGTGCTCGGGTGGTTTCAAGTCTAATGAGTTCTCTTTGCTCCCTGAGCACTTCCTCCCCTATAGCATAGAAACTCCGTGCAGCATCTGCTGCAGCGAGGGTTGCGTTTGCAGCCTGTATGGCCCCATTTGTGTACTTTCTCTCAAGGAGTATATTCTCATGCTCCAGATCCTGCTGTCGCTCGGCCCTTCTCTGGTACTGCTGTGCAGCCTCACGGGTCCAGCGCTGGTTGTGCTGCACAACAGGAGAGGCCAGTGTTCTCTGTGCTGCGTCGTCTTCAACTGTACTGCTGCCAGATGACGAGGGTGGCGGCGTCGTCACCCTTCCCGTGCAGCTGCTGTAGTGACACGCATGACCAGGAAATTGTTTGAGGTTAAAGGGATACTACAACAAAATTTCGGGTTTCATTTTTTGGTCTATATGTGTTCGAAGGAGCAGTATCACATCGAACACAACAATATCTTGTTAAAAAAGTCACGAAAAGGAATTTTAAAACGAATTAAGCGATTGGCAAAGAGCACCAGGTGGATGTCGCTAACGCCTCGTTTGTAATGCCAGTCTAAGAACCTTGACAGCTAGTGACGGTAACTGTCTCGCCTCCGGCTACCACAATAGAAGAGGGGAAGGAGGAACTCTCCTCTTCCAAAGAATCCTTTTTGTATGTCCCAGAAGTTGCTATTGTCCCCCTACAAGATTATAAAAGATTAACCCTTCACTCAAAATTCGTACAAAAGCAGCCGCTTTGGTGGCTGGAACGACTAGGCCATCCTCTCGACGTCAGCCTCGTCGCAGCTTTGCTCGTCCCGAGACGAACTACGTCACGATTGCGTTGGGTGTCACATGCTCTCCGCTGGCTGTTCTCCGAGCGCTTGTCAGGGTGGGCCGTTTGTAACGAAAACTATAGCCACCAGGTTCAAAATACAAACGTGCGATTGTCATTTAGGGATACAGTGGATCATATTCAACCTATTTTTGAACACGACGGGTATATTTTTAATTTCGTTGAGGTATCCCTTTAACGCATAAGCCTTTACAACGATTATCAGCAAACTTAAAAACCCAGGTCACTGACTGGCTGTGGATGGCAGCCCGAGGTACAATATTGTCCTGCATAAAGTTAATGCTCGGGACGTGTTCCGAGCATGCGCAGTGAGAAAAATGGCAGCTCACAGAGGGCTATTGTTGGGCAGGAGTGAACTTGTAAATTTCAGCATAACTTAGCAAACTGCAAGGGCTACAGCTCCAGAGAGCTGCTCAGAGCATTGAAGCAAAGGATTGTGACTAGACACCATACTCGTGCACGTACGTCCTCCGTGACATGATTCTCTCCGTCCTCTATCTCTCCAAGTGATGCATGAGGGCTGCAGTGCATGACATTTTTGACGTCACCCTGGATCAGGGTACATATATGTGTGGGAGAACTGAGTGCAACGTGCGGCAACCTTAATCCAGATGTGACAGTAACACTTGTCATAATTTTACCACATATGTTGGTGGTACAACAGACTGGAGTGCCTAACCCCGCAACTTTGTTTCATTGGCGGTTGGTAGAGTCGCCACATAGACATTTGTACAAGATTTAAAACAAGTAGATGTGGCACACTCACACCAGCCGTCATATGTGATTATTGTGTACCCAAGCACTGTCCGGCTAACTGGGACATTGATACTTTTTCAGATTTTGTTGGCACAGATCAGCATCGAATAAGTCATTGGTGCATTCTCAACTTAATCTCATAAGCGTTACCAAAAAAGAATGGATTTTTGCTACGTTAGCAGGCATGTACGAAGATCATGCAAAAACATTTCCACTGACAGTGGAAAAATTTGGGTATTGAGTGACCTGACTTTGAAGAAAATAGGTGATCTCAACTTGAGAGAAAGACTACCATAGCTTTGTTGATTATGATGTAAATATTTCTTTGTAATTTTGTGGTACAAATAGTTTCAAACTGTGAGTTTTACTGCATTTACCCTAATAAATGGTTTCATTGGCACTTTTTCAGCAGTGCAGAAATGGCTAAATATGTGAAGGTGGTGTCCTTGTGCTGTGTTCTGTTCTCTACTGGACAGGTTTTGACTCGTGCTCCTAATATTGTCGTTTTGCTTCATGAAGTTGGTCTCTATGTAAGGGCACGCAGCAGTAGTGTTATGCAACTGACATGTCTACTTTGAGATGGAAAACCAATATATTCTTTTATGACAATCCAAACTGTTCCCTATGCTCATCAATGTTTTCTAGGAGCATGCCAACAATTGGTGACTTTTGATATGCCTTGTGTCTGTGCTCAGTTTCATACCTATCATCAGTGACAGCAGAACATCCCTATCATCAGTTTCATAACTATCATCTTGTGGAAGTACTCATAATGTGACGAGCAGAACAGAAAAAGAATGCACCTTCAGCGCGTGCTCATTCTCTTCTGCTGCTTGTGCATCCTTGTGCTGTCAGGGCTAGTAAGCTGTAACTGGGTGCAGAGCTTCCACTGTACTATCGCCTCCATTGTCACAGTCTACATACAGTGTGCAACGATATCAAACTTGTAGGCGTAAGGGTGGGCCATTCAATTAGCACAAGTAAGGTGATTGACGAAGCCACGTGCTCATACCTACAACTTTAGTATTGTAATGTATAAAGTATCAACAGGAGCATAGCATACACAGCATGGCCTATAAAGTGTTACCTACTTTTCGGTGTCACCGATGATGACGTCAATCCCACAGATCGTCGGGGAATCGTCCCCGATCACATTTAAAACAGTCTCGACAAGTGGTGTCAGCTGATGGGGGTTGGGACCAGCACCTATGAATTGAAGTACACTTATTTTGTTTTCTAGGATGTAAGCACAATTAAAGGTGGGGGAGGGGAGACAGGGTGTTCATTATTCAACATAGTATCAATGTGCGAATGAACAGAAAACGCGTAAACATGTAATTGCCAATAATGATAAGATTGTTTTCTTACCTTCGTTTTTTTTTTCACCCTCAGGTTCCTATTATCCGGTCTCGGGTAATATGTGATGTTGGACAATTTATTTCTTTTTTTTTTTTGTTTGACAGCAAACTCACTGTTGCCAGCTACCGGCTAGCCTGGCCCACTCTGTGCCTGAATCGGTTGCGTCGGAAGTGTTTGAAACGTGGAGGGGCGACGGAGCCTCTGAGCTTAACCCCGCCCCCTTTTGCAGCATTGTTTACCGCAGCTGTCTGAAATTTCAAGGGGGGGGGGGGGGGGGGGGGGAAGGGGAAGGGGGTCTGAAGCCCCCCTGCCCTTGTTCCCACGCTACTTGCCTACATACATTTTTCTTCTGTGTTTAGTTGAACAATAGTGTCTACATTGTTTACAGTGCTAAAGACAATGTTTTTGGCAAGCAAAATTTGGACATTAATTTTGAGAAATTACGCAGGCCCACTGCATGGAACAGGATCCAAGGTGCTTTGGGGCTATTTCTGTGTTAGTGCCACTGTGTTGAAACTTGTGCGAGTAAGAGCTAATTAATCTTTGGGCTTGCCCTCTCATGATATTGAGCGAGATGTTAGTTGTCGCGCATTGAATGGGGTCTTCGGTTGAGATATTTGCCCCAAAAATTTGAGGGGCTAATATATCACTCTCTAATAAATTTGTACAGTGCACCCAAAGTTTCCAATAAAGATTTTACAAATATCGCCCTTTTTTTTGTTTTTGTAGCGCAAATATTGGAACTTACCTGTCCGTTGGTCATGTTCTTTGTACAATCTGTACAAAGTTCGGCACTTTTTAAGTCATTTTCTCCATGCTTCTTGAAGCTGTTTCACTGAACGCGGAACTTGGTGGCGGCGGGTCATGGAATTGGCGACTTGGTCCCAGGCGCGTCTTTTGGTTTTAGTAGTCACGGTAGGGCCGAATTTTCCCAGGATTTGGTATTTTCGAGCCTCAACTTCCCGGACTAATTCCAATTTTTCATCTAGGGTCCAATTCTTTTGACGCAGCGGCGCGGTCCCCTTTGAGGTAGTCGCTCGGTTCATTTTCGTTTGCAGAAGGAGCATGATCGTCTGCTACCTTGGTTTGTTTATCTACACAATTGCAACATTATTCCTGCTAACCGTAAAATATTTTTTCAGAAGCAACGCGAAATAACAAACAAGTGCATTTCCAACAACTTCAGTATTGTTTATTTCTCGGTTCTACAACTTTCGCAGACGGCACAACGGAGTTGATTCGGAAAAACTGCATGTACCGGCTTTCTTGGAGGGCGAGTGAATTGAACGATCGGCAGGTCACTGGTCTTTTATGGACAACGTAGCATTTCACTAAACCCAGAGAAAGTTCTGCTACTCATCACTGCTAAAATCCATTGGACCGTTGAGCCTCTGTCCGCCGTTTATCTGCAGAACGGTTGATGCTGCAGCTGCAGTCGCACTGTAAGCAGAATACGAGGATTTTGTACAAAATGGACACCCTGAACAGAAATTTTCCCGGCGTGACTACTTTCAATAAACCGCAATCGCTACTCAAAAGGCAACTCTCCGTAATGCTTCCTTTCAATAAACGTATTCTGATCCTGCTCCTGCTTGAAGTTAGTTTCACAGCGCTCAACATAACGTGAGTATGAGGCTGGCCTCATCACAACCCTATCGCGAAATGTTTTGGTGCTCACCGTAAAACGCTTGTCGTACTCGGCTATCGTGTTCCTTGGAACGCATCCCACATTTCGGCGCTGCGATGCATGATTCTTGCCGTGCTTCAATGAAGCCGATGCGAAGCTTCGACAGTCGGCGACTCCGGGCCACTGTACTTCTACAAATCGGTGACTCTGAGCCACTGTTTGTCGACGGGCTGCTGCCGTCGACTTCAGTCGCAGTCCCCTCGAAATGTCAGTTTCTTTAAGGCGCACGTAGGATACTTGTACACTCTTAACTTAGAACACGGAACCTAAATCATCGCTCTGAAGACAAACACCAATGCGATCGCGACCGCGGAAACTGCGTACGCCGCAGCCATTTTGTCGAACGACGCGACGGGGCAATGCGTAGCTCCCCGTATCCCTACCGAGCCAGTCACGTGACTAAAAAATCCCTCTCCTAGGTACTGCGGCTAACTTTAGCCGCGGTTAGCTGTTCGAGCAAACGGGCCCTGAGGTCGCAACTGACCGGACAACGAGCATCTGCATGGTTGTGTCTTTCGAAAAGCGTCATGAGCTTTTCATTCAGCGCAGTCAGCTTCTGCTCAGACGAAGGTGATAAAAAATGGCTTTCCTTTCACCATTAAGGTACCAGTGATGAAGAGAATACAAGAAGAAAAGTCTCCGCGGCCACTCATCAGCAAATGCAGCGAGGTTGCAAGTCCCTGCCTTTGAATCCCTTGGAGTACAACTTGAACCAAGCGGAATTACATTATAACAAAGCCCTAACTTGTCGTGTAATTATCTTTGGTTACATTTAAACACATTAAAATAATGGTTCCCCCTCCTCTGCATCCGGAAATTGAGCTCTGGGGCTCAGCCTGCTTTGCTCTCATCATTAATCCATCACTGTGACAGACGCGGTTCACACTAGTACTACTAGAGTTCACACCATTTATCTTAACTAAGCCTTTGAAGTAAGGTTTTAAATTCTAGATTTTGTATGTAACCTCATACACAACGTCTTTCAAAAGTTCTAGCGCCACGATGCGAGAGGCATGATGAAAGTGCCGATATTTACCGCTAGGGCTCCAGTGATCGTCGAAGGTCAGCATGTCGCCGTCGTTTTTGGAGTGCCGACTTCAAATTTACTGTAGCTTACAATAATTTTTTTCTTTGTTCTGTTTCGTCAGTTCGATCCTGACTACTTGTTCGTTATTTGGATGGAGGAAGAGGAGGAATATACCTTCCCTTCCGTATCTTACCCTCCTCCTCCTCAAGAGCTGCGCTCTAATTTCGCACTACAGAGATTTGTATACGTCTTTCATGTTTTTATACGCCCATATCTACCAGGTACGAAATCAAGTTATAGTAAGCATGTGAGTTGTGGCGCAACACGACCGTTTTTTTTTCGGACGAGAACCGCATTCAGAAAACGAACGGCGATCGAGCATACACCGTCGTGTCAAAAGTCGTGTACAAATAAATGAAACAAAAGCTAAAAAAAATATTCAAAATGGGGGCACGCCGACGCCCCTTCTCGATAGCGCCCTGGGCGATCGCCCAGGTCGTCCACCCCTAGGGCCGGCCTTGGGTCCGGAGCGCCAGTGCTACATTTGACTTGGGCGGAGAACGAGCGTTCGGTGACGGGTAGTTAATTTTTGCGGTGAAGTGCAGAAAATCGCTAAAAACTTTCGACAGCACCTTGTCTTGTTTTGTCTTTTCTTGCCTTGGTCCTTCGTTATTTCGGCGCTGATTACTCTTAGCCTCCTTACTCAATACCCACCTCTCCTCACTCGAACTGCATGACAAATGTTTGGTCCGCAGCTCAGAGAAGGTTTTGGAATTTCTGAAAGAGGGACGTAGGGGAAATCGTGACGCCTTTTCGATTGACGTAGAGGACCTGTTGTGTTCGTTCCCGCATCGGCTCTTTTTTTACTCAGTAAGAAACTGTATAGACACCAACGGAGAGACGGCCTTCCGGAACATGCCTGCGGGATCAGCGAGGACAGTTCCATCTAACTTTTTTTCTTTTTATCTAGACAATACTTTTCTTCTCGTTTGACGGCGAGGTTAATGTGAAAAAGGGGTATTTGTTTCGGGTCGCGGGTGCCACCTGTTAGCTCACGCTGACAACGCTATTTTGGAGAGGCTTGGGGGTGAAGGAATCTTCAAGACCTTAAGATACGCCAATGAGTTCACGGACGCAGCAACTGCCAATCTGTTGGGTACCTCTTGCTCTCATGGGTTTGAATTTACCCATGAGAGCCTCAATGGGACGCCATCAGTTTTTAAACTTAAAACTTAAATTTTTGGATGATTGCTCGAAGAAAGCCGTGTTTCCACACAACTCCGTCCACTCCAAGCTGGTAAAAAGAGACATTTCTACTTCGTGCTTTGGAGCCTCCAGAAGAAATGGACCAGTGACAGGTCGACCGACTCATGAGTGCTGGTTTCCAGCAAAGCACCTGGACTGACGTTGCAGAGGGCCTGAAAATGAAGCTTATCGGCGCACAGAAGCATAGCTTCCTATATACTGTGCCAGAAGACAGCTCGAGAGCGCCTTAAGCCGGGACATGGTGTGCCGCACTTACACGGCGTATAGACGCTTAAAATACCCGCCAGACTGAGCCGCCATTGCCGGCCTTCTCTTGTCTTACCGAGATTCTGAGCCACTGAACCGGGCGTTGACGCACCTCGACAGAGGCTTTTACTGGCGAGAAGGACGCAGTACCACCTAAAGTGGCGATAACCTGTTCTGATGTGGTAATGATGGAGTGAAGTGAACGAAATGAGAGGGAACAGCAACTGAAGGTCAGTTATGGCGGCGCCCATGCAGGGCTGCCTGAAAGCGTCGATACATCATACAAAGTGGAAAAACATCTACCCCAGCGATACCATATTTTTTACCAATTTTGAATTTGACGTTGACT